TGACTCGCCCGCGTGGCCGCGAAGGTGCTGACACGGGGCGGCTGCGCCCGGTTTTGGCTCTCCGTGTCCCTTCCCCGGCCCCTTCAAGCCCGCCCTGAGCCTTTGCGCGGCCTCGCCCCGCTTTTCGGTCCCCGCTCCCCGCAGAGCGGGGCCTTTCAGCTGCTCGGCGAACGAGACGTTCCTGCCTTGTTTTTCCTCCAAATCGTGCCCTTAATTTGCCTGAGGGGTTCAGCAGATTTTGCTTGCTCACGGTAATGCCCTCCTGCTGCTCACATTTCTTCGTACTGGCGTGTGTACGTCCCTCCTTTTGTGAGAACGGTGGTCTTCGGTCCTTGCCATTTTGCTTTAAATATTTTTTTGCCTTTAAATATTTGGCACTGGAGATGGGGATTTTTGCATATGGAAGTTAAGGCAAGGGCTCGTGATTCATTACTGCCTTTCGTTAAATCCCCTTAGCAACAGCAGAATTAATGGACTAAATGGTTTCGTACTTTTGTCATTTTAATATTCCTTTCCGTGTTTCTGTGTCTTCCCCTAAACTCTTCTGGGTGTCTGAAGTTAGATACCTGGCTACTCTTCATTAAATACTTAATCGATGCTGGTATTTTTACTGCCAAGTGTGGAAATAAGTTACCTGACCAAAAAAGATGCTGGTTTCTGCTGTACCAAAGCGTGGAGACAGTCCCCCGTTTTTCATTGTAGTGTTGTGAGGGACACTCTAGGGTTTTAGCTGTGTTCAGGTATGTCCCAGTAGGTACAAATAATAAGTGATATTCTTTGACGTTTTGTTGGGGGAAGAGTAATTCAGCTGGCTACTAAGTTTCATACCAAGGGTTGATACAGAGCAAGAAGAAATGGCCTACTGTAAGTCCGGAGAGTCTTGCGTGGTTTTATGAAATGAATAAATAAGGCCCATTTTTTATCGCAACTTCAAAATAAAATGTAATAATAACTACAAAAGCCTCGGTCATTTCTGTAGCTGTCTTTTATAGTCTCTCTTCACTCCACTGAAAGCATTCAGTAGCAGTAAATACGCTTAGCCATTCTCAAGGTTTCTGTGTTTATCAACTCTGCTGCTTGCTGATAATGTTTTTTTTTGTTGCAGCTACTAGATGAAAATCTCTTATTAATTATGACTTCTTAATTAGTGCCTGAAAGTTAGAAAAAAGATGTACTAATTCTGTTTTTTTTCCTTCTTGGGGTGTAGATTGGGTGTTTGACTCTTGCTCTCCCTTGTTAGGGCTGTAACAGGGAGATAAAGGGATAATCTTGCAAACCATGTATTTTTGCTATCAAGAGTTAAGCACAAAATAAACATTTGTTTAAAATGCAACTTGATGCTGGGTAGAAATTGGAAGACCTTGAAGTCTAAATCAGCCCTGTTGTCCTTAGTTAACGTGCAAATTTTATTTGGCTATATGTTTTGCTGTATGCATAACTGAAGTCTAAATAGTGAAATGTTTTGCTCTGCTTCAATTGCCAGCTGTAAAGGTAAATGCAACTGGGTGGATTGCTCTTGAATGCAGTGCTAGACTTTTCAATAAAGGAGTACACTTAAAGGGAGGGCTGATGTCAGTAGCATCTGTACCAAATAAGTCTTATCTCACAGCAGAATATGATAGTTGTCCCATCTTTGGAAATATTCTAGGGTGAAAGTCTAGAAAACTGCTAATAAACAAGGACCAGGTTTGTGTTTTCAAGTGACTTCTCAGACAGTGCTAAAGATAGAGGAAACTTTCCTCTGCTAGAGTGATGCTCTGCGTTAAGAGGAATCACAAGTCTGGCTTACATCAGTGCAATGTTTGTTAATATCTCCCAGAGTACTTCTTTAACTGATGATTAAAACCACAAGAGCAAATGATAACCAGTGCAGTACACACAAAAAGAACTCTACTTTTTCTTAAGTTGTTAAAGCTAAGCTCCTTAAAAAGTAATAATAAACAAAGAATAAGACCAAAAATCTGTTTAAGAAAATACTGAAGTAACTTTCAGTCATGACTCATTTGGCAGTTTTCAACCAATTTTAGTTTTCTATAGCTAGCTTTTCGCCAGTGATGCTTAAGGAGTCTGAATCACTGAAAAGATGAGCTGTACTGTATCCTGCTTTGGGCATGGAAAAGATGACTAGTCAGTATGTGATGGCAAAGTTGTTATTGTGGACAGTGGTTTTATTTTTCTTAAAATATTTTATTTTGACAGCAGTGACCATAAGCAATAATAATTTTCTTAAATAGAACTGGCCTCAGCTGTCATATAGAGTGATTTTTTTTTTTTTTTACTGACAGTGAATGAAGGCACAATATTAGTAGTGTCCCCTTCCAAAATAGTCAAATGAGCTTTCAGAGTATAGGACCTACTTATTATGAAACATAACAATAAAAATAAAATGTAGGATCTTGGGGAGTTGCTGAATGAAAATGTCATCACCTGTCTTTGAAGAGAGGAATTTCTTTCACTCCAGGAGCATTGGTACACTTGAGGATTTTCCTCAGCTGGCAAACAGGGTCAGGGCCAAGAACTGTGCTTCTGTTTTGCTCTTGCTTTTCTTCCAGGGTGCATTTGCAGAGACACCCTTCAGCACCCATGAGTTTGCACCATTGTTAGAAGAGGTTGTGCCCTGCTTCCAACCAACAGTGCTTTCTTGCCTTAGAGGAGCCCCTAGGTCAGAGTGGATTTGGCTGAAAACTAATCTCTTAGGGTCGAAGGGGTCAGGAAGGTGCACAGTTGTTAGTTGTTGCAGAAGAGAAGTAGTGGGTTTACATCATTTTAAGTTGACAGAGGAGCTCTACTCTTAAACCTTTTAAAGTGAGACCGGGATCTTTTTGCAGTCAGAGCCTCTGTGCTGACTTTCAAGCTTGTGAATTTTTTTTTTTTTTTTTTTTTTTACTGTGTTATGTCTTTGTATATGTTTGTCCCTCTCTAGCATTGGGTATTGTTTTAGTGGGGTGTTGCTTTAGGCTTTCCAGGTGTGAACCACGAGCTCTGATATGTGGGTCCCTGCTGTTATCTTCCCCAATTTCATAGGAGTTACTGCCTTTGTGTGTGTGCAAAGAACTTTATAAAGGTGATCATAGCCTGGTCCAGATAGTCTTGGAGATGTGTATTGAAAACACAACTGTGCTGTATTTTGAAAATAATGGTAAGGTTTTCCTGATGAGGAAGATGGGCAAAATTGCACCTATTGGAAGAAAGGTGAGAAATTAAGTAGGAGTGGAATTGAAATGCTTTAGTGTTCACATGACTTGCAATATTCCTTTTTTTTTTTTTTTTAATTTTAACCAATATGCTTTTGATGGAAGGATGTTAACTATTTTTTTTCTGCCTTTCTTCCATTTAGCTTGGTTTTACTCTTGGCAATGTGGTTGGGATGTATCTGGCTCAGAACTATGATGTAAGTATCCTTGTATTCTCAGAGTTAAACCTATTCTGAACTGAAAATATAAGGCTGTTTTCCCGCAGTCATAATTGTATCAGTCTTTATTTTGATGGTTTATTTTATTTAAGCAGAATGCAGATTGTACTGACTTTAGTTACAGGTGAACTTGAATGTAAATGAAACAAAAACATCTACCTCTGACATCTTCTCTGTGATAGAGTAAGGCTTGGAGCCTTAGCTGGTCTTAGGGTCCTAGAGCACAGATATGGTAAACAGTCATCGGCATAGATAGAGCCAGGAGAAACAGAAGAGGTTTAGTAGCTGCTCATGGATTGTACTGGCACTAAAATACTGGTTTCCTGACTCTGCCTGCTTATGGTGTTGTCCACTCAGCACACCTATTTGTTACTTAAAAATCCTTCAGAACATCTGAAATTTCTGTCTTCTGTAATAAAGAAAATGAGTTTTGCCAGCTTTTTTGGAAAATTCGGCCTCTGTTCCTACTTCAAACAGTATATCGACCCGCAGTCTTTCTTTCCTTCTTTTGTCACAGTGAGAAAAGAAAGAAAGTGAACTTTCTTTCCTCAGTTCTCACAGTGAACAGAGGTTTTCCACTGTGAGAGTTAGAGTAGAAGATTTAGAGCTGTGTCTTCAATACAAGCTTTTAATTTTTGCAGAGTCAGCAGAATCCCATGTAAGAGCAGTGCCACTTAGCTGTTTATAGGCTAGAGGAGTTAATGAAATTTAACATCAGTTTTATTCCTTTCTTATCTGATCTATATTAGCCTAGTTAAAAAAAAAAAGCTGTTGAGGCTCAAATCTCTGATATTTATGTTTTGCTTTCCTCTCATCTTCAGTATTGAAGTCATCTTGCTTGCAGAATTCTTATTTTTTGCTCCGTGCTCATGCGCAAACTTTTATGAATCTTCCTGTCTAGTCACTCCAGAAAGAGTACTAATAAAAGGCTTGTTTCTCTTTCCAGTATATGTTTTACAGTGTTACGAAAATGTAACAATAAGAACATATTTGGGTGTATCAGTATGTGTTATAAGCATAGTATAGTGCTTTTCACGCAGCACCAATAAAGTATTGCCACAAGAGGGCAACTTATGCTTTTGATTTGCAGTAAATGGTTCCCTGGGAATGTAACACTGACTTGCAGGATGAACATGGTAATTTTGTTGCTGGTATCAAAGATGATTTGTTTTAGATGACATCTAAGATAAACTTGTCATAATGAGGTCCTAATTCTGCAGCTGTATGCACATGTGCTTGGTTATAAGCACATGGAGGGCTCTGCTGACAACAATGGAGTTCTCTTGGTATAGCTTAAATGTCACGTGTTACAGGCTGGGCTTTTAATGTCGTTTGCTCTAACAGAGCTTAACTTTGAAAGGCAAGCTAAGACAGAAACTTAACGGTATTACTTGTACTACCAGCCTCAAACCATCCAATGAGAGAACTGCAGTCTGTTTGGATTAACTTTCCTTCTGCTCTGTGGTCAGGTTACATATGAAGTAAAAGTCCATGATGTTTTTCACAACTACCAGTGGGAACTTTGCTTTACTTTCATTTTAGTCAGCTTGTAAAATCCTATGTTGTCAATTCCCAGTTTTGGCTAGAGTCATGAGGTAATTTATTCCCTACCCTAAAAAGTTGCTGCTCTTCTTTTTCTTTTTTTCTTTTTTTTTAAAGTTGTCAAAATTTACTATTGGATTGCTTTATCAAAATGCTTTTATTGGCAAGAGAAAGCTGAAGTTTTGAAGTTCACAAGCGGTAAATTGAATTTTCATTCAAGTGTGAAACTGCAAAAGGTTGCCAATTTGCAATGCAGTAGAATTTCCCAGTGGGGAATTTTGATTCCTACAAACTGGACCAGGAGAAGTACTTCTTCATAAATTTCTTGAGAACATAATTTGCTGCTCTTGAACATCTCTTTTCTCTTGGTTTGTGACCAGTATAGTGCAATCTAATTTCCCCTCCGAAAGTCATTATTAAACTCTGCGCATCAGTGCTTAAATTAGCTTATTCTTGGCAGCTTGTTCTCTTTCAGTGAGGAAGCCAGACTGGTCTTACTAAGTTTCCTGTGAAGTGATCTTTTTTCCTCCCTCCTGTTCCCATCGCCACCGGCTGACTTTTAGTCTTAACAATCTAAAATATTTCCTGAAGCCTCATGTGAGGTGCTTTCATCTGCTGTTTGCTTGATGTTCTTTTGTTTTTAACCTCTGTGCAAGGTAACAGATCCTGGAAGCAAGTATCTCCTAGAAACCAGTTTAAATGTCATAGAATTTCTTGCTGTGTTTATGGTATTGTCTTTCCTGCTGAGGCTCATGTAGCTCAGGATTTTTTTGTTAATTTGTGTGGGTTTTGTTTGTTTTTTGTTTTTGTCTTTAAAGATTCCCAACATTGCAAAGAAGCTTGAAGATTTTAAGAAGGATGTGGAAGCTAAGAAGAAACCTCCCAGTGACAAGTCCTAAGAGAGCAATGTTACCCAGGTCACCTCCGTGCGTGCATCAAGGATGCAATTTACCTTTCAGGCAACAAAGATCAAGTAGAGGGTTGGCGTGGGAGGTTCCTCCACTTTTAGTCTCCAAGAGCTGGAATGTCATTCTTTTGAAAGAGCAGCCATGAACTTTTCCTGGGACTGATTTGCGAGGGTTTCAGAGTATGGATTTACAGCTGATATGTGACTGGATAAGATCGTTTGTATTTTTCGTTATTGCTTTTCCTAATATTTTGTAATCCATTTTTACCTGATCCAATTGGAGTCCTGTTAGTCCTGTTACTATGCGTACCTCACACTTTGTAATACCCTAGTTCTTAGAGCATCGCAAAAGAAATTAAATGCATCAAGAAGTAACTTTCAGGGTTTCTTGTCATTTGTTTTGAGCAGCAGTACTTCACTGTCCTTAAGATGAACATTCCATTATTGGAGATGGGAAGGTTCATTTGTCAAACTGTGAGACTGGAGGGAAGGGAGAAGCTTCTGCTTTTTCCATTATGTTAAATGATCACTTCCAGCAGAGTAGACTTTGCACAGATGTGGATGATTTCAAAAAGTGTAAAAGGCCATCAACTTGAACCTACGTTTCAAATTCATTGTTTCTTCTTTTATTGTCTATTCCTCTTCTTTCCCTTCTGCTTGGTTGCTTGAGGATGTCTTTGGAGTGATGGGAAGCATAGGAGAGAGAAGATTTATCTTCCATAAGTGGTAATCGGGGCTTGTGGAGGTCAGCAGTTATGTTGTGAATCGAAACCATTCACTTTATGTACTTAATGGTCCAGTTTGTGTAATTGTTTTAAGTATGCTTTTTTACTGCCTCTTGGTGTGGAACAAGGACTAGAGCTCAGTATTTCCATCAAGTATGTCTGGTATTCCCATTAATTCCTCATTCCTGTGCATGGTCTTCAGCCCGTTGCCTCTGCATTTGGTTCAGTTGTCTACCATGTATTTTTCTTAGGACTAGAACTATTTATCTGCTGTCCCCCTCATTATTTGTCTGGTATGCTCCTCTTCACCGACTGCTGCCACTAAAACCCCTGGTGTGTGAGAAAATACACATCGTATTGTAGCACTGTCCTCTTCTGTTTGAGTGGAAAGCAAAGTCTGCATTTGGAAATCATAGTTTTGCACAAATCCTGTTGTAAACTCTGAAGAAAATATTGCAGTAATTTGAATAGATATAAGTTTTATTAATTCAACAGTCTATCAAATAAAATTTAATATTTTTTCTGTAAAATAGAAGAGTCCTATCAACTCCATAAGGTGACTTAAATCACTGAGTGGCCTTGACAGTCTTTTGCAGGATGTGAAGGACAAATAAAAGTACCAGAAAGATATTCTCCTTGCTTTTATTAACAATGCCTGGTGATGGACTGCTATGGACAAATAGGAGGGACAAGCACAGAGAATGACCTCCTCCACTCTTTCAGGCTCTTGATTAAAGCATACTGTGGTGGGTTAACCCTGGCTGGATGCCAGGTGCCCACCAAAGCCACTCTATCACTCCCTCTCTTCAGCTGGACAGGGGAGAGAAAATATAACAAAAGGCTCGTGGGTCGAGATAAGGACAGGGAAAGATCACTCAGCAATTACTGTCATGGGCAAAACAGACTTGACATGAGGAAAAATTAATTTAATTTATTACCAATGAAATCAGAGTAGGGTAATGAGAAATAAAACCAAATCTCAAAACACCTTCCCTCCACCCCTCCCTTCTTCCTTGGCATGGCTTCACTCCTGGATTCTCTACCTACCCCCTGCAGCAGCACAGAGGGACAGGGAATGGGGGTTGTGGTCAGTTCATCATATGTTGTCTCTGCCGCTTAATCCTCTTCAGGGGCAGGACTCCTCGTGCTCTTCCCCTTTTTCCACTGTGGTTCTCCTTCGCGGTTCTCCTTTATCCTGTGGTGCTAGCAGCTGCGCGCACCAACAGCTGTTACGACTCCTCTATGCTTGCTTTCTTGGAGAGATTTGTTACACATGTCGAGCATGTGGAAGTGTGCTTTGAAGGGCCCAGACTACTGTTGGCCCAGATTACAGGTGGCCCTTAGATTACTGGTGAAATTGAAATGTTGCAAAGGAAGAAATAGGCGTTTTCAGAATTAATAAGGAGTTCATTTCATAAGCCTAGATTATATCTGTGTTTGCAGAAACATGATTGTGAATTGGTATTCGTATGTAAAAATCAATATCCACTGTATGTGAAGCAGAATTATTTTGAATATTAGGAAGTGATGGCGGGTATTGGAGTACATATGTTACTGGTAAACTCCATACAGAAATTTCCTGTACAACTTGCTTTATTTTTGCCTCAGAAGGGTAAGAAAGAGATATTTAGTTCATTTGTTACACTTCTTGGTGGTATATGCTAACATTTACTTTACAAAGTCCCAAGCCAAAATAATTTTTACTGCATTTGTAGAGAGATAAAATAGCTGTGGAGGTTATTTGCTTTTTCACCTGAAACATACATTAATCACAGAAGGTCAAATTTACTTTCCTGAAAAATAAAACAAATTTACGAAATTACCTTCAGAATAGTTGTTCCCACCAAAGTCAGTTCTGGCTTTAGTCTTTAATACACCTGGAAAATACCTAAATACCCCAATCATGTAAATCACTGACTCAAACCATAACTACACTAGTAACTTTCCTACCCTGTGAGCCCAAATGCTGGAGTGGAACCTACTGTTGGTTTTCTGTGTGAGAACAGAGATTCTGCAACCTTTCAGCACACTGATTAGAGCCCTTCTCTGACAACTGCACCTTTGGGTTCAAAGATGCAACCCAAGTAGTAAGATACTAATCAATGTATGAAAAAAAAATATAAGGGCCTGTTTTAAATTCTATTATTCACATTTTCTGCAAACCAGAGAGAACTGAACAACACATGTACAAGTATTAAGTGTAGCTATGATGCTCTTTTTTCCTGAGAAATAAAACATTACTCTATCAGCTACAGAATAAAGAATTGCTCAGTGTAAATCACTTCAGTTTACTTCAGTTAAATTGTTCAGGCTTTATATCACTGTGAAAAAAAATATATGTAGGCTTAATAGGATTCTAGGAAAAGGTAATATAAAACTGTAAGATAAAATAGTATACTGCTACTAGTTAATGTGATTATACTTTTTGTATAGGAATCTTAAATCCTGGGCTGAAAGCAGAACTTTTGTTTTTAGGACTTGATGTATGTGCTGAATGTTAAAAGCATCTGGAAATCATTCAATTTAAAATCAGGCTTATCTCCCCTCTGAAGAAAATACTTCAGCTTTGGTTATTGGTGGAGAAGTTGAGTGACAGTATGCTATAAATTACCAGTGAAAATTTCCCACTTCTTTGTCCACTTGCCATTTATTTTAATTAAAAAAAAAAATAGCAGCAGTCAGCACCCGTTGCTATCAGAGTATGAGCCATGCAGCTTGCCAACCCTAAGCTTGTTCACCTGCTATTTTCCTCTGTGATATTTAGATTCTGCCACTAAATAGTTTCTCATGTACTTTCTTATGTCTTCAGTGAAATGAAGGGAATCACGGGTGTACATCTAAGGGCAGAACCTGGCTGTGGTGTGTGCACTGACTGATCTGATAGGGAAAAAGGGCCGGTCCAGCGCGCTGCCTTCCTGCAAATGCCTGGTGGGATGTGGCAGTGATGACTGCCAGCGGCTGTGGACGTGGCAGTGTGCTGAGAGCACCGAAACGGGAGGGAAGGCTGCTGGGGAAACTCCTTGCCCAAGTCCACTCCAAATTTCTCTGCACCAATCTTGTGAGACAAACTATGCCAGGGACTCATGGAAATGTTTCTGAAGAAATACTGCTTGACATGTGCAGCACCAAGCAATTTCCATTTACCTGGTGCTCTTGGTGTTATTACAAAAGAGTGTTGGTGGTCACCCAGTTTGACTTGTGCGTAACTCTAGGTCTCCCTGAAGTGAATTGGCATGCCAGCTGCTCGTCTCTCTTGAAAATGAGAATATCCCGTGTTCATATCCCCTGGGAAAGGTGTGGGATAGCAAGGCCTGACGGGAAGCGAGCTGAGCAGAGAAATAACTATCAGGAGGGTGGAGAGTGATTTGTGGTCAAGCAGCTACACAATTTGAAGATGGTGGTAGATGAAGCATGAAGTGAGAAGGATTAGAAGATGAGTGCACAATAAAAGGCGCAGAGTGGCTGATGCCTTGAGAAGAGAAGAAGCAAGGAAGAGAGTTTCTCGGCAGGGGGAGAATGGCTGAAAGTAACTTCGGGGACTGTGAACAAAGAGATGTCCTGCTCGTTGTGCGTGCGGACAGGACCCTCGGTACTGCAGACACCCCCACCCGCTGCAGTGCTTGTTCCTGAAGAAAGTTGCCCGTGTTGGTGGCCAGGCACTGCAGCCTCTCTCTCCTGCTTCAGTGGCTTCGGTACTGGGTGCAGCTTGCTGGGAGACCAGCTTGTGCTGGGAGGGGGGCCAGGGCACCTCTGCTTTGAGCACCGTGTCGGGGTCCGCGCTCTGCAGCAGCTGCGTGCTGCGGAGGGGGAAGACACCCAAGGAGGGGAGCCGGGGGGTGTGGAGGATCTGGATCCAGAGGCAGGCGTGAGTTCTGTGTGCTGGGGTGCAGCAGAGCAGCACGCTTAGGATAGGGGGAACACGGGAGCTGGGGAGGTGAGAAGAGTTGAAAAAGTGAGGCTGAGGTCTGGTTTCATGGATTGGGAGGGCATGGGGATGCACTGAGGCATTGATTCACAGGAACACTTTGTTTTTCAAAAGCAAATTGACAGGAACTACTATGAACAGCACTTGTTTTGCTAGAGGATGCTGCCTTCTGCTTTTGGTACAAGGGCTAAGACATGCTTTTGTGCTTTTCCCATTTTGCTCCCCATCTGCCAACCTATGACCTCTTACTGTATCTGTTTATTTCCAAGACAAGTCTGTGGGACCCCTCTGTTTTGACAGAAGCAGTAAACCAACACCTCCTGCTGTCTCAACACTCCTTTCCTAAGGGCTTGGTGGGTTATGAGGTGAAATATATCCCACTTATATTCTCACAGAGCACCAGAATGTGCAGTAGTGAATAATTTACTTTATTGACATTTTATTTTTGCAGAATAGACATTCACACTAACATCTTGAAAGCCTAGATTATAAGTGGAAAGCATAAAAATTCATTAAAGTATATATATGTGTGATTACATGAGATCCAATCATCCTAATATACAGCTTAAATGCCTTGACATTAAAGAAATTATTAAAAACGGGACATAATACAAGAGAAGGTTTACCCAGTATCACAGGGATCCAGTCAGAAAAGCAGGGCATTCACTTTGCAGGTGATAAAGAGATTGGCCTTTTGGTTTGGTAGTTATCTGCTCTGTGTCACG